CACTACCATGTGTTCCGGTCAATGGTTTTCGTTTTCATAAAAGACCATATAACTGGGCATGCAATGGTTTCAGCATTCCCTGATTTCCATATGCGGCGTATTATAGAACCACTGTGCTTACTGATCTTCGTGTTATCAATTAACCTTAAAACTCTGAAACGTTCGATGTTGATTTTACAGTTCAATGGCGACCAATGAACACCGATAGTAGTGAATTCATTGCCTCTGCACATGCGCGACGGTGTTTCCCGTTTCGTTTGCTAATCCACGAAATCTTTCATACTGACTGAAGTTTGTACGTGTTGCCGTCTTTTCTTGCATCTGATAAATAAAACAAATCCCCCGCAGTTCGAAAATCCTGTATTATACCAAGCCTGTCATTCACCGCTGTCTATCATCACAACAGTGGTCCAAGTCTCTTTTGCGCCATTGGTCATATCTGATTGGGTGAAACCCAAACAGTGATTGGCTAAAGTTGAAATTGTGGTTAGCTGCGTCCTGATTGGTCAGGATGTTCCTGTCGCTCTGTCCACCGAAGTGCGGTGCAAAGCGCACAGATGCTGACTGCACATGCGCTGTCGCGAACAGATATGCGCGCACACACACACACGCATGCATGCACGTGCAGACAGACGAACAGATTTAGAATGTCTGTCGGTCACATCCGACTGAGCACACTTTAGTTTCGCCATAGTTCCGTGTCGGTGGAGCCCACTCGACCTTGAGGGATATAGTTTGCTTTCAATTTGGATTTATTGTCACGTGACGCTATGTTCCCATTGAAACGGGTCTGTGTTTAATAATGCCTTTTGTTTGTGCCGCCCCTATGCACAGCACCGTGGAATCTCGTCATCAACCGCATCAACCACATCCCAAACATCATCACCATCCTCATCACCATCATCCCCATCAAGGGCATTTACATCAACCGTTCATATCAGACCGTCGAGCATGGCATCCAGAAGAAGAAACACGGCATCAAAATGGTCGATCACCTACGGATGCTAGTCAGCGAGTCCAACCCCACCTGCCACCGAAACCGACAGGTCATGTGGAATCTCGGTTACCGCCTACTCCAAGTCGATCAGTGGCTTGGCCACCACGGTTGACGACAATGCCAGACTTCAGTGGTCAGCAACCCTACTGGCCAAGTCAAAAAGCCAGAGCTGAACGAAAACATTCGGTCTATGTGAATGCCGCGATCTATCCTCTGCGGGAACAACCTCAATCACAGAACGGGGGAGACAAATCCGAAACCGGCAGTCCGGTTGGAACGGTGCGTCGCTCTCCACCCGCCTCATGGACTCATTTGCTCCCGTATCGCACATCTACCGTGCCCCAAAATCTATCCGAACGTTTGAAAAAATCCGAGACTCTGCCGAACGATGTGTGGGTGCATGCACAGCGTACCAATTCAATCCACGATCCGAATTCACAAACTAACTCGGCGCATCCTCAAACCGGTACTGGCAATTCAGCCAATGTGGACCATCAGATGGCCAGACAGAATGGTACGGACGGGACTCCGATTGGATTAAAATCACCTCCACCACGACCTCCGATACGAACCAGTTCACAGCAACTTTCCGGACGGATGAACCCGTCTACTCCGTCGGAACAGCGTGTTACCCGTTCCATCCCAAAGTCAAATTCGTCCACTCAATCACCACAATTAAGACACGATCCCAGCCTATCCGGACTATTCACTGGTGATCAAACCTCCTTGGACGATAGTCCAATTTTGTGCCGTTATTCGCAACTGTATTCATTGGCTCCGAAACTAGATTCAGGTGATCGTAGCAAGCTGTACACAAAAGGCACTCAAAATCACTCTAACAGTCCGATCCTCTCTAGACCAAGCATAGATACGCCCCCACTGCCACCGGAGTTGCATATGCAAAGGCTTCGCATTCACACGGATGATATAAGTTGAGTCAACGGTGTGTGCTTGTGCGTTGTTGGTTGGTTGTTTCGGGCTCGACTGCATCAGCCCTGTTCCCAAAACGACAACTTATCCCTTCCTCGCCACCACTGACCACGAATTGACCTTCATTTCGCGTCTATATATATTCCAGATGAAGATCATGGGTGAGTAAAGTTCATGCGTTCGTTTTCATTTCCGGTTCTAAGGAAACGAACATCGGCTCGTGTATCATTTGATACATACG